TGCCAAAGCATATGGTTTGGAAATCCAAACTGTGCATGGGGCGGGGAGAAAAAAAATCAATATTTATCCAGCAGAAAGTTAATAGGGCACAGAAACAGTTGCTCCTTCATGGAGAACCAAATTTTTGTCCTGTAAAGGAACTAAGCTCTCTTGAGCAACAGGAAGTCAAAATTAGTCTATGTGAAGATTTATAAACCATTGAAAAGGAAGACTTTTGCAGAAATATTAAAAACAGCCACTTCGGCAACTAAATCCAACTATAGTGTTATAAAAAGGAAATGAAATCAGTTACTATTATTCACCGATTTTCTTACTAAACCTTTGTGTTTCCAAAAAACCAACCCAATCCTTTGAAAGATAGTCTTAAAACACTTCACATGCAGAATCTATGTATTTTGAGCAATTAATTGTTTTTCTACTGTTAACAGCACTTTTGATTATTAAGGCAGGGGAAAATTGAAGCCTACCTCCTGGATTCTACTCCCTCCTCTGCCACTGGTTTGAAGTACAATCTTGAGCCAAGTCACTTTGGCCAAGCAGTTCAAAAGTGGCCTTTGATTTTGAATGGCTTCATTTTCGAGTACCCAACTTGGGAACCTTCTAGTTTGATGCCCAAAACTGAGGAACAGAGCATGAGTGGTCACTTTTGAAAATATAACCATTCTGTGTTTCAATCTGCCTCTCTGTAAAATGGGCATAGCAGTATTTACTTACCCAGAGGGGATTTTTTGAGGCTGAGGGCTTGTTTACATGAGAATTGCATCTGGTTCAAATCTGTCCTTTAGATTAAACTATCTAAAACCCTGTGTGGACACCCTTATTTCAGTTTAAGAGTCTCTTTTTCAGTATAGCTTAAGTTAATTAGGAACAAGCATAAACTAAACCAAAATAAGCCACTCTTAAGCTAAAATACAGTTGTCCACAGGAGGGATTGCACCAGTTTGAAAACCGATTCAGTTAAAACGGTGCAACTTACCTGTGCAGAGCAGGCTTTAGTTACTATTTCAATATGAATAAAAGGCGTGGAGAGCTGTGGACTGAGTGAGCTGTACAAAGACCACCAGAAGATTCATTTGAAGAGCGAGAGAGACAAACACCCAGTTCAGATTTTAAAAGTTATCTGAAGACTAGGAGCCCACTTCAGCACTCACAGCAGTGCAAATAAACAAAGAGACTATGCTTCACAGCGCAGAGGGCACGGACTCTCCCAACTGCAATACAGGCAACCCTGGCATTGTGGATTACAAAATAGGACCTCATCAAGTGAAGTGATGAGCTCCTGTGAGGTGCTGAGTCACCTCAACCCCTCTTGCTTCAATAGATACCAAGGGTGCTCAGCACTCTGCATGGCTGGGCCTCAAGTCAGGCAGGAGGTGGCGGTGGCTGGGGATATAAAACAGCCTCTATTTATACAAAAATAGTTTGATAAACAGCAACAATGGGCGAAGAGAAGTGCAGAAAAAAATACCTGAAGGTATAACTGGATTTAAGAGCCAGCTGTGTATACATTTATAATAGCAATACTTTTCCACCCTGGGGATACCAAAGCACTTCAACTAGGCATCACCTCCCGCACACCATACAAGTGTGGCAATTTCTGGGGTGGAACATGGCATCTATTCTGAGCCAAGAACAGCGTTCAAAAGTCTGTGGCAAGGAAAAATTACATAAACAACATAACTTAGATGTACACAGTGTTCTTACACAAATTACTGGGCTCAGTACAGGGGTAACTGGATGAAATTCTATGGCCTGTGTTATACAGGAAGTCAGACTAAATGAGCTAATGGTCTCTTCTGGCCTTAAAACCAAGGAGTCTATAAGCCCAAAGGAGCCCAGATGGCTCTAAAGACGGGGCTAACAACAGGGTGGGACATTACAGGACATTGTTCCTGAGCCTGATGGGAAAACTTGGAGGCAATGGCCTCTATGGTGGGTCTGAGTTGCAGCATGCCTGGGCTGTGTTTGCCTATGTGCAGAAGCAACAATCACTACGTGTACCAGCTTCAGCAGCAGGTCCAGCTAATGTCTCAGAGAGAAACCAGTGAGTGGAAGTACTATGTAAGGCAGTGCAAGGAGCCCTGAGCAGCCTCCATGCTCCTGAGAAACAATGACCTGGTAAGGGAGCAGCGGGGAGAAGAAAGCAGGATATGGGACAAAGTGAATGGAGGGCAGCCAAAAAATGGAGGGTCCACTGTGGTTGAATACAAATGGGAAGTAGACAGCAAAACCACGGCATAGGGAGGCAGTGGGAGACAGAGAACCATAGGAAGAAGGAGCATGAGAAAAATTGGCTCTGGGCAGAGGGCATGGGGACAAGAAGGACACACAGGGCAGGCCTACAGGACTTGCTTCTGCAGCTTGTGCCAGGCAGACATGGTAAATCCTGGCAGAAGCACCGTACAAGCTACAGACCGTAGTTGTAATAAGTTAGTGTGTTTCCTACCACGTTAGTATCCAAGAGGGTGCTATATATTGCTGAACTTACAGGCCATTATGGCTGTCTCTCTGAGAAAGCAGAGTGGTGATTTTTGGTAAATGACTTTCTAACAGCAGTTACTATATTTACAGGATTCAGAGGAACAGCCGTGTTAGTCTGTATTCGCAAAAAGAAAAGGAGTACTTGTGGCACCTTAGAGACTAACCAATTTATTTGAGCATGAGCTTTCGTGAGCTACAGCTCACTTCATCAGATGTATACCGTGGAAACTGCAGCAGACTTTATATTTACATATTTACAGGAATAATTTCACCCATCACCGAAATGCAGGCCTGGTGGAACACAGCAGCTGTTCCATGTCACACAGCAACATTTTAGTTCAGGAGCCCATTCCTGAGAGAAGACCTGGAGGTTCTCAGCAGTTTGAGGATCAAACCTTGGGACAACAAGGAAAGAAGAAGATTATGTCTGATCCTCAGCTGGTGGATTCAGTCTAGCTTCAGTGAAGTCAATGGAGCCATGCTGACTTACACCAGTTGAGGCACTGTCCCGTCATTTCCAACAGAAACTGAAGGGGGAATTCAGATAGAATGTAATTACCTAGCCTGGAATCTGGCCCACACAGAGTAGCGACAACTTCTTTAATGACCAGGGCCAGAACCTCAATTTTAACTCCCATCCCAAAAGACAAAATTTCTTAAAGTGTGGGAGGGGTGATTTTTTAAAATCTAATTTACTTAGATTGTGTAGAGAGTTCTTTTCAGGTCACTATTGCTAGAGGGAAAATTTGAGGAAATTCTGAATTTAGATCAACCAAAAAATAAAATGAATGCTGGGTTATGTTTATTAAATAAGCCATGTGGTGTTATTAAATAGGCTGTCTAAAGAAAAAGTTTATTTTGGATATGTAGAAGAAAACACAATTGCCTTGTCTCCTGAGCACATTTAAGGACACTATCATGTTAAAATTCATATTTATAAAAAGATTTCCAAGAACACCTTAGATCACTAAACCTAGTTGCCAACACTCACAATTTTATCATAAGCCTCGTGACTTGTGGTGTTTTTCTGGAAGTCTGAGCTTTTAGAATTGAGATTGCATGAGAATCTCAGCTTTTACACACACAGTTGTGGGAAAGAGCTTTAAATTGCAGTTTCTGAGGCTCAGAAACTAGAAGCCTGACTCATGAGTTTTGAGCACCTGGGGTTGGCAACACTGCGCAGTTTTAAAAATGTCATTAGCCATCATTGGTGCTCTTTGCTTACTCTCAGGCTGGATATCAGAACTAGTCTAGTTAATTTCACTTTTGTTTATACTCAGTTTCATTTGCAGAGTCCCATATGCAGGATGCTGCAATCTTTGGGTTTGCAAGAGAACACTATCCCTTTTAAAAAATAAACTGTTTCAGGAAGAGGTTTTTAAGTGATGGGTTTTGTAAAAACTTGTTTTTACAAAACTTAAATTTTGGGCCTAAGCTGATCCAGCAGTGTCCACTTAAAATATTTTCTTCTTAGGCTCAGTAAGGATGCCGCAGCAGGCAAATCTGAGTGAAGCTGACCAAGCAAGAATGCTCATGCCTGGATAGCGGTCCAATTTCTAGGAGCAGTTCTTTATTTTATGGAAAACAAACTCATGTTCTGTCCATTTAAGGCTCAGACACATTACTAAGCTTCAGCCAGTCACATATATCAGTATAAAATATGGCATACGTGGAGCAAAGACACCTCCTGGCCATCTCCAGTCTTACAGGGTCATGAGCACACGATATTGAATCGCACCAAAGATGAGATGACCAAAGACACAACATCATAATGTTCAGCTGCAGCATTTATTAATCCTCTTCACCACCTGGTGCATGGTGTACCAAATCCATAGCCAGCTACATATGCTCGGTTATCACTTAGCTCCATTCTGTGGCTGCTAGGAATTTTCACAGTGACTACATGGATGAAAACACCTGCTGCAAAAGCACAGGCCTCTACCTCTTGAGCTAAGAGAGAGACTCTCTATTAGCAGAATTGGATCTAGGAAACATAGCTGAGCAGTTCTTTTTCCATCCACTGGAAGGCAGCGGTCCACAAAATATATTCTCAGGCACTGACTAGTGTGTATTGCAGTTGTAGTTAGAGGTCCCAAATGAGATCAATGCCCCATTGCATTAGGTGCTTTGCAAATACACAGTAAGAGTGTACAATCTAAATAGACAGGGCAGATAAAGGGAGTAGTATTGTCCCCATTTTACAATTAGGGAAACCAGCACAGAGGCATTAAGGGCGGGATTTGTAGAAATGCTCAGTGTTGGTTTAACTCTGCTCCCATGAAAGTGAATTGTAAAACTCCCAGTGAGTTCCATGGGAGCAGTTAGGCCAACACTGAGCACTTCTGAAATTTCCCCTCTAAATGACTTTCCCCAGGTCACAGAGGAAATCTATAGCACAGCTTCCAGTTGAACTACAATTTCTTGAATCCCAATCTGACTCCTAGAGAAGGCTGATCCTATCGTTTTTCTAGGAGCTCCCCTAAACTTTAGTGCGAGTACATGTTTCTTCTCTTTTACAGACCCAAAAAGCAAACTAAGCTTTGTATGCAAGAATGTGGTTTCGAGTTGTGCTACACCTTCTCTGAAAAGGGCTGGTATTAGCCGAAGTTGATGCTGTTGAAGTTTGTTGTTGAACCCTGCTGAAGTCTATCTTGTCTCAATACCACACCATTACAATGAGCTTCTTCTCCTATTTGGACCCCAGGAGGATCCAGTGGGGTGCCACATGGAACGCCATGCACTCCAGGATCCTGCGCACCAAACCTGTGGAGTCAATGCTGGAGGGGACGGGCACCACCACCTCTCATGGGACCAAGCTGGCCCAGGTGCTCACTACAATGGACCTGGTTTCCCTCGGAGTTGGAAGCTGCGTTGGCACTGGAATGTATGTAGTGTCTGGGCTGGTTGCTAAGGAGATGGCTGGGCCTGGGGTCATTGTTTCCTTCATCATTGCAGCAGTTGCCTCCATTTTGTCAGGTGAGTCATTCATATCAGTTGAAAGAGATAAAAATAAATGGTGGCTTCTACTTAGGACCTTATCCTGCAACCCTTACTCCTGTGTGTAGTCCCATTGAAGTCAGTCAGGGAGAGCTGATCCCCTAATTTAATGGTGCATGTTTTGCCTTCCACATTAAGGATGCAATTATTTTTAACAGAGGGTCTAAGCTTGCAAAGTGCTGAGCATAGATAACTCTCACTGAAGCCACTGGCAAATGAGGGCATCCATCTCACCTTGTAGGATCAGGTCACCAAGAGATAAAGATCCAGATTGTCAGAATTCATGTGGGGGAAGAACCCTTTCCATGCATTTGTCGTACAGTTGCTAGGAGAGTGGGCCCATCTTGGCAACTGCACAAGCCTATGGGTTGTTTGGTATGTGTCTGCATGCCCATTTATCTCAGGTATGCATGCAAATTAGGCATACACCTCTGAAAATCTGACCAAAAACATCCATTGTCTCCCCATGTGTGGGACAAGAACCACATGAAAATAAATACTAACCCTTATGTTTAGGCTTCTTCTGTAACAAAAAGAGACTTTCAAGCTGAAAGTATTTTAGAGTGGCTGAAGAGCTAGGGGAATTGCTAGGAAGAGACCGTCTCATCTAATCTCTAGGTTGCTGGGGTATATCCTGAATAAGATGGTAGTGACCAACCTTAGTTCCCTTTTGATACGTGGCTGGTGGCCTGTATGTACAGTAGACTTGAAGTCCTCAGCCATTACATTTAAAAGACCAGCCGGAATTTACATGTCATAATTCATAAACCAAGCACCGACTAATGACAAAGCAGAAACAAACCCGTAATAAGTCATTTAAACACTTCCAAAGGCGGCTGGATACTTCCAAGGAGGAAGAGAATGAAGTGAATGAATCCAGCCAAGTATATGGATTGATCTGTGCTTTCCACATGATCTCATTATTTTTGGCATTTGTCCTTGTCTGTTCACTACCACTGAACTGTAAAGATGTTTTAACACTTGCTGTTAAGAGAAGTCTCTGCATTAAATAGCAGAATCGGATATTGATGGGTTTGTTTTTATATGGGTGTTGCGTTAAAAATGGCAAGCAGTGGCCAAGGCTTATTGTATTAACAGTTACTGTCATATTAAAGTGATCTCACTGAGGTTTTAAAACTAAAGCCTTAGAAAATATAGTAATAGCTTTATTCTCTTCCATTACAACTACACATTGAGCTAAGTTTTCCTCTTCCTTATAAGACAGCAGCTCCCACTGGAGGCCACGGGTATTACACCAATGTTAGAGAGAGAACTTCACCCTATGTTGTCAGGTATTCCTGGAACCATTATAGAGGAGTAGCAGATTTGAGTTCTGGTTTCTTAACATTACAGCAAAGTTTTACTCTGTCACCCTGGTTAAAATCCACAATAACAGATTTACTGCTGATTTACACCAGGGTATGTAAATTACACTTGAACTCACAGGCCTCTACAGCCTTACTTCCATGTCTAGCTCTAGAGGAGGACTCACAGCTGTGAACCCTGACTAGAGATAGCATCTAAATTTGGGCCAGATGGAGGAGACTAAATCCTTTTCAGGAGTGGGGCTTTGGCTGCACCTCTCTCAGTATTTCTTTGGGGAGCTGCCCAAGCTAACCATACTCAGCATGCTAGCTTTGGAGAGTCTCTTTTTTAGACACACAGAGCATACGGAGAGCCTGGGTGCCTAACTTGGGGTGATGAATGCCAACAAGCGTTGGGTACCTAAAAGCTAGGCATTGCAATACTTAAGTCCCCCTTGGGAGTCTAACTCAAGCAGGCAACAATTATGCACACTTAGCAGATACAATTCCATCTTGCAGGGGGGAGTGTTGTGGACACATGCACATACCCCACCCCACCCCCAAAATAAGAACCACAAATTGAACTCTTATTGGTCATGGAAATGTAACAACAATATCAGTATTAAATTGTGAGTGTGGATTTACTGTTTGTGAAGGGTGTCAGCTTGGCAGGCCTGAACACTGAAGGACAGCCGCATGGGTACTTCCTGCAATATCCCCCATCACTGTGTCTGCCAATGTATATCAGTCCTAACCAGCACTACCCCTGAAAAAGGGCACTTACCTTAGTTTTCATACTTCATCCATTCCTTGGCCTTAATACTGAGACTAACAAGCAGGCCCTGTAGGGAACAGATTTTCAAATGCCTTCTATCGGGGTGGGCAAACTTTTTGGTTCGAGGGCCACATCGGGGTTGTGAAACTGTATGGAGGGCCGGGTAGGGAAGGCTGTGCCTCCCCAAACAGTCTGGCCCCCACCCCCATCCACCCGCTCCCATTTCCTACCCCCTGACTGCCCCCCTCGGAGCCCCCGACCCATCCAACCCCACCCTGATCCTTGTCCCCTGAATGTCACCTCCTGGGACCCTCCACCCCTAATCGTGACTGTCCCGACACCTATCCACACCCCTGCCAGGCCCCCTGGGACTCCCACATCTATCCAACCACCCTGTTCCCAGTCCCCTGACCACCACTACCCAGAACCTCTGCCCCATCCAACCGTCCCCTGCTCCCTGACCGCCCCCTGGAACCCTCTGCCCATTATCCAATCCCCCCACTCCCTGCCCCCTTACCATGTCACTCAGAGCAGCAGGACTGGCAGCCGCACTGCCTGGCCAGAGCCAGCCATGCTGCCCATGCCATGGCGTGGCTGTGGGGAAGGGGGGACAGCAGAGGAGGGGCCAGGGGCTAGCCTCCCCAGCCAGGAGGCCAAGGGCCAGGCAAGATGGTCCCATGGGCCAGATGTGGCCTGCAGCCCATAGTTTGCCCACCGCTGCCTTATATCCATAGTTGAAGCTAGATTTTTCAAGAGCTCAGCACCCACCCTGCTGACCTCTTTTGAAAGTCTAGCCTTAAGGCCCTTTGCTGTGAAGATATTTGTGACTCTGTCCCACTAGAAACTGCACTGAAGTCAGCCATCTCATTTCACATATACCATCAATGCAGATTTCATTTCTATTATCTCCCTGTCTGCTGACAAAAAGTTACAAGATACTAACGTGAATAAAAACTTTCCATTCAAGTGCAGTGCTTTCTGGAAGTTAGCATTTCTCCTTCCCTTAAAAATGGAAAGCGGAGACCAAATAAATAAATAAATGGTGGGATTCCAGAACAAATATAAAACTAGACATTATTAAATGCAGGCTTTTTGCTTGGAAGATCTGAATGTTTATCTGAGATCAAACAAGACTCCAATTCCCCCAACCACAACAAAACAACAAGCTTACTACCTATTTTTCTCAGAGATAGCAGCTAGAATTTGACATTTTTATTATTTCCTGACGTCCACATTTTCTTCTTCAGACTTGTTCAATTATGCTGCCTCAGCCACAGTAAACTTAAAAGCCTGGAGAGCTTGAAATAAGTCTATTTGGAGAGTGAAAGTAATGCTTGCTTCAAAGTGGGTTTTCTCCCCTAGGTACAAGGGTGCAGCATCTTGCAACTTTCTGGGGGATTATGTCTTAACCTTAATATTACTTGCATGTAGTCTGCCATATTTACTGTTCTTCTTGAGTTGCCTTTGTAGCCCTGGGAAAACATTCTCTTAATAGGAATATATTTTGATCGTCTCTTCAGCCATTTCCTTGTTTGATTGTTGACAGTTCTGTTATTTATAACAGCAACACAAACTTGGAAAGTAAAACTGCATCAGGGCAAAGAAGCTAGAAAGGGCTGTACATGTAGCTGGTTATTTTGGTTCAGGTTTCACTTAACATTTAGCAGTGCTCTAAATGTATACGGTACTGCACTCAGACATTTGTGTTTAATTTTCAGTGAACTATTTATATTCCTATCCTTTATTAACTGAATCCAATATCAGTTGTTCCATTATTTTATCCAGAATTGAGGTCAGGTTAAATGGGCTATAGTTACCTCGGTGATCTTGCTTGTCCTTTTTGACTATTACCACTCCTCCAGTCTTCTGGAACTTTGAATAAATCTTGGAATATTGGGAAAGTTATCAGTAGGTCAGAACTCTTGGCTAACTCTTTGGCACAAGTTGTCTGGACATGTTGATTTTAAAATGTTTAATGTAGGTGTCTAACACCCTCCTTGGTTTCCAGTTGACTGGCATGTACTTCATCATCCTCATATGATACAAATACAACATTCCTGCTTCTTTCCAAATGCAGAACAGAAACATTAAACACTGCTGTCTTTTCTGCATCATTAATTGTGTCATTTCAATCCAATATAAGGCCTATACCATTGCTAGGATTTTTTATTACCAATATACATAAGCTTTCTTCTTGTCCTTAGCCATGCTAACCATAGATTCCTCCCGCCCCCCCCCCCAATGTCTTTAGCTTCCCTTAACAACTTTCTATGCTTAACTTGAAATTTATATCAACTGCTATATAACAAAGGGGGAAAATAGAGATTACTTTTTTCTAATTGCTGCCTTCACTTCACTACTGAATCAAGATAGGGTTTAAGCCAAAGTTGTCCTTTGTGATTTAGAAATTGTGGCTTTTTGACCATCTACAACTCTTTAAAGAGCTGCCAATTTTTGTTCATTTTCTGTTGAAATTTTTCCTCTGCTTTAACCCTTTTTGATGCACCAAATATATTACTGTTGGAACTGACTGCTCTTTGCCCTTATTGAATGTCATGAGGTCATGATCACTGGTCCTTAAGCAGCCACTAACTTCCAATCCAGTTATGAATTCATCTTTATCCATCATAAGGTCTAAAATAGTTACCTCATGTTGGGTGTAAAACCTTTTATGCTAGAAAATTATACTTTTAAAAACCTGATATTTTACTATGGGCTATATGAGGGCCCCAGCATATGTCTCCTAAACTGAAGCCCCCCCCAATAACGGTATCTTTCCACACCTTATGGACAGATGTCTAACTTATCCTGTTCTCCGGCTTGATTAGATGATCTGTAGCAAACTGCCATCAGTACTCCTCCTGGGCTTTGTTAGTCAGTACATTGATCCATATGCATTC